TCTCTAACTTATTAAAGTATAGTCCCTGGTAGACATTTATTGAACGATTGAAAGACACTACTAAAAAGTTGATCGAGGCTAACTCTACTATAGAACCTGGAAAGGATCTGAAATTTGAGTTTTGTGGTTTGAGATAATGATCTTTTGAATGAGCATCAAAAATAAAAAAATTAAATCTTAACCAGCAACTTAGTTCTTCGATCTTGTCATGAATCGTGTTTTAACATGAATTATTTTGTTTGAACTTAATTATGTAGAGAACTTGTCTAGACTAGTCTGCTTAAGAATGAACATGTAGTCGAGCGTGATGCAATGACTTTTTAAACATTTGTATTACATTTTAAAACAAGCGATGAATCATTAGATGCCTTTAGAATATGAGCCACACAGTAGAAGAACAATCATTCCACTATTAGTTTTATGGTAAGAATCAACGGACACTAAGAAAACAAAATTATATAGAAACACAGAGAAGTACGTGATAATATGAAGCATTCGGATTACTTTTAAAAAAAAATCGAGTTGAAATAAATTTCAATCATAATATGAAACTCAATTAATCTTTTTTAAGTTTAGATTACTTTTAGTTTAGCTTTGTGTTTTTCTTTTTTCAATATGAAATAATTATCCTAAATTTCGGCGATGAAAAAAACGATTGTTTTAGAAAAGTAAAAAAAATTTTAAATTAGTCTTATTCAGCTCTGTACAAATAATTCTGTGTTCGATGATACAAATCTTTACTCATGTTGTAATACGAAAAAGTGTATTAAATATAGCATCTCTAAATGTTTATTGACATGTCGAGGTTGATTACATGATCTTATGATTCAATCAGCTAAACGATCTGTAAGTTATATATTGTATTCATCTTCTAAGCTAACCTTCTCCCTTATAGTTTTATCTTTTAGACTTATCTGGACTCGAATAATATATAAGACTACAACTTGTAGTATTTAGTAACGTAGATTCTCTTCGTTTTGTCTTAAATCGCTTTGGATGGGCATCGGAGCGGTACAGCATGTCTAGTCTTTTTTTATCAAAGAAAAACTATATATAGCAAATTGAATGATGACCGTTAATTAGGTGGCCAGGACTAAGCTGTGAACTACAAATGGCTTCGAACTAGTTATCAACTAGTACTTTTTGAAAAAAATACTAGAGCAGACGTACCGTGTTGACTAGAATAGCGGCTAGCCTTTTTACCCGTTTTTCACTCATCTGTGCCCTCAATCGCTGCATTTTCAAGCTGACCCAGGATGCACAAATGCATGATTGTAACGTTCAATTGCTTACTACGAGACAAAATAACAGAAACAATTGAAATATTCCAACTATCTCTTACATGTCGATTGTCCTCTGCTTTTAGTGCTTTATAACTATCGCGTCCATACACCCAATAATATGTCGACTTCTTCACACCATTGACACTAAGGACACAGAGAAAGAAAATGAAAATACCAGCAGTATTTATTTCTCGTGTGTTTTTAACATATAGTTGGTGCCTTGCTTATTAATACAACAAAGAGAATCTGAAATTCCAGATAACGTTAATTACCAAAAAACGAAAGGGCAATCGCATCATATTACGAATCCATTTGTTTCATTCAATAACAAAATAAAAACACTTTGATCAAGCCATTTTGTGCATATTAGAAAATGACTTTATACTCGGTTTCAATACACTGAAAAAGACTCAACTATAAATCGGTCTAAATACTTCCGACACGTGTCATTGACAAACAGATTTTTGAAAAGAACTTTCTATGATGTCTGCAATGACGATTCGACAAACATGGTCTCAGACTATATGCATGGCATTAAAAGAGTTTTATTGCATAACGAGAATCCAGTTGTAGATTAAACTGTGACGACAATTCGCGATCGAGGAATAGAACTGGTTAATAGATCCAGTTTTTGAAAAAGAACCAATTCATAGAACTAGGAGCTGTTATAGACCTATCAGTTACAAATAAATAAATCACACAGTACAAAGGACGAAGGCGCGTAAGGCGTTATATCGATTCATGACAAATGTTATAACCAATCCAGTTGAATTATATGTGGAATAAAATCGCAAGTATATGTCGACATTTTAACATTAAATTTATCTGTGTACTATGGAATTTAGCATGCATGAAAAATAACTTGTACGAAACAGCGTCCCTATGCCAACTTAAAAAAAAGGACGCTATTTTTGCGTTTAAACGCATCGTTCTCAAGTGTTTACTTGTTATGCTTTTAAACTCATCTGTTAATATTCTTTTGCTAAAAAAGGCATTTTTTACAAACGCATTGGAACCCAGTGTTTAGTCCATTTTTTGAACGGAGCAACGAGTTTTGTTTTACCAAGAGATTAAATGAATGTTCCCATTCATATTCTGAAAAAAAAAATACCGTCTTATAAAGTAAGAATCTACTTTTATGTAGACAAACACCTTATGGTATGACACTCAAAATGATCCATAGTTAGAATTTTTTTTCCGTATTTTTAATTCATGCAAAGAAGTAATATTTGAAAAGAAGGAAAAAATCGTGAGCGCCCGTCTATCGTCTTCTCAGTATTTCATTCAAATTTTAGCTAAGGATCTTAATTTTTTTCTCTAATGTTTTCCAATAAGCTGTCGATAATTGTTAGTTACATTGTCCCAAATCAAAGCTTGACTATTTATATAACCTATTCGTTCGACAAATAATATATTTTTATATACATAGTTTTTTTTGCCTCTCAAAACGTAATTAAGGGTAATATCGATCGAAACTATCATCTTTTATTCTTATTATCTCCTTTTTATCTTTTTATATATCTTGCTATATTCTGTCCCTTTAACAATCAATTTGATTCATTGAAGAAATATTTATCTTATTCGCTTTCCCTTTTACTGTCTTCTGTCTCTAGTTGATGAACTTTAGTAGAACTATTTTGAGTAGATTTGATTCGTTCGTTTATAATCTCCAAACTTATCTGATAGAAAGTGCTCATACAGATATGAGAGGATGTGTGTCTGTATGGCTGTAGGTGTGAATGTGTTTGTCAATGCTCTTGTCTTTTCACCCACACCCCCTAACAAATAAGAGGACGAGTGTAGACGTGGCCTGCTCTTTGCTCACAATCCAATGTTTCATGCACCCCATACACACCACACACCCATCATAGTTGGAATTTTCTTTTTCATCTTCGTCAATTTTTTTTTTGTTTCTTTTCTTCAGTATGACGTCATTTTGCAATGTGAAAATAAAAAAGGATATAACAAAGTTCATAAATGTTTTGTTTGCTAGCAAATTTTTATTTTTCTTTCTATTCTTTTGTCACGCCATAAACCATGCTACGTTGTTTGCGAGCTGAATCTGAAAGAAACGAACAAACCATTAAGTAAACGGGAAAAAACCCAAGCTTGAGATGTCGCTTTTTTATACTAGGAAGAAAAATAAAAGAAGAACAAAACATTCACTACTATACTATAAAAAGGAGCTACGCAGACTTATTTCATTCTATTTCAGTTTCGAATTCTACAAGTCATTTTTCACATTTAACAAGCAAGTAGATCTTTCTTCTGTTAGCATAAAATTCGAAACGAACACTTGTAATTGTCTAGATTTCAAACATGCAAATCTTCGTCAAAACACTCACAGGCAAAACAATTACTCTTGAAGTTGAAGCAACTGATACCATCGAAAACATCAAAGCTAAGATTCAAGACAAGGAAGGTATACCACCGGATCAACAACGTTTGATTTTTGCCGGTAAACAGCTAGAAGATGGTCGTACACTTCAAGACTACAATATTCAAAAAGAATCAACCCTTCATTTGGTACTTCGTCTTCGTGGTGGTATGCAAATTTTCGTGAAAACACTCACGGGCAAAACAATCACTCTCGAAGTTGAACCATCTGATACCATCGACAATGTGAAAGCTAAAATTCAAGACAAGGAGGGCATTCCACCTGATCAACAACGTTTGATTTTTGCTGGTAAACAATTAGAAGATGGTCGTACATTATCCGACTATAACATTCAGAAAGAATCGACACTCCATCTTGTCCTTCGTCTTCGTGGTGGTCAATAACATACTTCTTAGACAAATTTCAACAACATCATGGAATTTTTTTTAAACTTTCTTTTTGAAATACCGACGAATCACTATGAAACTAGTTGTTTTTCTAATTATTTGAAAGGTAATAAACATCGTATTAGATAACATTTATGTACATTTTATGATATGATTAGAAGATATTGACTTCATCGAAGTCGAAATAATAATTATAGTAATCAAAAATCTGAATTTCAATGTATATAGAACTAATGTCATCATTGCTTTAGAACTTCTATTAATATCGATGAATTGCTTCCCGGTTTAGTGAAAATATTGTATTATCAAAAAATTTATTAAATCATGTGATAGCGCATAGATGCGAGTGTGGGTGCGGGTGTTGGTGAACAAGAGAATGCGTAGACCTTCACACCCACCCTCAGCCACACCCTTTTCTCGCAAGCAAACGCATGCCAACTCTAAATATGATTGTTCATTTCTATAATTTGAATTATCTTGATATCTCATCACCATATAGAATAATGTCACCGACAATATTCTTACGAACACTAAAAAGACTCCACTTGTATAATCAATACTAGTTGAACTAACTAGGCTATTATCATGGTTTAATAATCGTCAATTATGCCAATATTTAAGCAAGACGATCAAAAGATTAAATCTTATTAATGTTCATCTCCATTTACCTATCAATTCTAACGAAATGATGGAATTTAGTGGAATATTTTCGAATATAGAAATATGTGGGTAGATTAGATGATTTATTAACCATGTTAAATGTTTTATCAAAACTGTTAAATATCACACTTTGTTTTCGACCATCAGATTGTGAAAATGTCAGTTGCTGGGTAAAGAATTATACAGTGAAGTGAAAGGAATACTCATTTACGATAGCATGTGAATGGCATGGCGAAGCTTCTGCTGTTTATGCGCATAAACTTGAATATATCTAACACTGAAGATTATGACAATACTTATTGTTGATATATTGCTGCATAGTCGCATTGGAAGAATTGTGTAGAAGTTTGTTTTCCAGCAAACTTATGAAAGTAAATATACATGTTACCGAAGAGTACAAATTATCTCGTATTTTATTTCGTACTTTCTCAAAACATATGTTTTCCTATCCTTTTGAGATTACTCCTCAAATTTTAACCACGATTAATTACAGGTCATCGGAAAAGACACTATTTTATATTCTTTTTGATGTTATCAGAACTACGCAAGCATATTCGTTCCTTACATATATTAAAGGATCGCTACGTAAAACGCTGTCACTAATAGAGATTGTTCTTTAAAAAGAATTTTTTTTAGATGAAAACATATAGTTTTTTCGAGGATTTAAATAAATGTATTTTATACTATTCGGTTACTAATCGATCAAAAACGCTACACTAAATATTTTTTTCCGTTTGGGAAGGTTGAACTGATTGGTTTTCACTCTTTTTATTCTCTGACAAGGACTTAGATTGTATTTTGTGTCACATGAATCATCGAAAGAAAAAAACAAAACTGACATCATGTGAATGCCGTCTCTTCGTTCTTTTTTTGCAGCAAGTCGACATCCATCACAAAGTACATTTGAATAGCTGCTTTCATTTACGCAGTGGATATTTGATAAGAAAATGGAGAATAGTGCACTCGAACTATTCTCGCCAATGCATTTTTCTACTTCAAAGAAAAACAGGACTAAGCCAACACAGATATAAAGCGATGCTAAATCAATAAGCGTTGATAACCATACCACGACGTTTTCGACGGTTTTGTGCAAGTGAATGTTTTAGGCATTGTTATTCAGAGTAATCATCAAAAATGCTTATGCATTGTTCGAAATGTTCTTTATACTAAAAATTATAGGTTCAGACGGAATCTTCCGAGTTTTGTACAAACTAAAAATTTTATATTCGCATGCAAAGAAACGAACCGACGTTTTTGGTGTGGGTTTGTGGGTATGGGTGTGTGAGTGTCGCGGTTGGTGTGGATGGGTGGGTGGGGACGTCAAAGTATAGGAGTGAGTGTGGGCTGTGGATGCAGGTGCGGCTGCAGGTCGGTGTGTGAGTGAAGTGTGACTCTGGGCAGAATTTTCATGTACATCAACACCCATACGCCGGATGTAGGGCTGGATAGAGATGGATGTGACTGAAGAGAATAAGGACACTCACACTTCACCCCAACAGCAACACATAACTAGAGCCTACACCTGCAAAATATTTCTACAAACATCGTTCTAAATCTTATATGTCTTGTTTTTCATTAGTGTGCACAAAAAACAAGTTTCTTGAATTCTTTGCTTTTCAAAGGACAATAAGGGTTCTATTAACAATCACGTTAGGAAGAATAATGAAAGAGTGTGACATATATTTTGAATAGTAAAGAGAATACTTTTCTTTCAGTCAGCCCAGGTCGTTCATGCCCGGCCGTAAACGGTCGTACACCAATCATTTACGACGAAAAACGACAGCAGTTTACAGTGACCGTGTACGACAATCATATACGGCGTTTTACGGCGTATTACGTT